TGAATTTATTCACATGCAACCAGTTTATAGATGATTTATAATGACGATGCCTCTTGATTTTCAGTAGGGTACGTACTTTGCCAGGGCATATACTTTTATTTGTCTGCTGGTTTACTTAATTTCTGGTAGCCCCAGCTGCTAGCAGTAGTGGTCTAATTCCTGATAGGGCAGTCCAGTGCACAAAACGGCTCCTTGCCACTCTACTTGGCTCAGTTTTTCTGTGGGTCTTAAACTTTCTCCCCACCCCACTTAATAGAGTACATGCTATTGATTTGGAAATTGGTATCAAAGCTGATGGGAGAATGAGATATACCAGTGAATATAAAAGTCAAGAATGACACGTTTCAGTTGCAAGAATATAGCTTTTTTATTAAAAAGTTTTTGTACCGTGTATTATCTGGCCCTTGTGGGCAGATGGAAGTGGTATGCACCCATATAGAATGTGTAATGATGTACATGTGCAAATATGCTCCTGGCTCTTGTAAACATTTTGATGAAGCGCTTGAGTTCATTCCCATGCAGGCCAATGCATGGATTCTGAAAATAACTGAAAATTAGTGTCTCGTTCCTTTCATCCTCACCGATTTTCTAAAGAGGCCACCACAAAGGAGAGAGCATGGTCCACCGTGATGGTCCTGGTTCACCCAGTGTGTGGGGGTGCTCCAGATGTGAGCAGTATGAATGAAGACGGCTTTCCTTTGATGTGGGACACAACTTTTACCAACCTTCCCCAAACATATCTTCCTGTTTCCTGTGGGATTGTAGTGTACACTTGTTTAATGACTGCTAAAGTAATGGAGAAACAAATGTGAATCTGGCCTGCATGCTTCCTTTCCTTCCTTAGAAACAAAGGGGGACTCTGGAATCCATGCTGTGCCTGTGGAACATGTCAGGAAACACAACCCTGAGTTCATTAGTTGAGATTGGCAGCAAAGCAGTCCTGGGCCTGGTGGAGCTGTGGTAATAGGCGTCCTTCTAGTCCTTACCGTGGAGAGTGGTCACTCTGTTGCTTTCAAGGTTTCCCAAAGCCGGAATTTGTTTTGGTAATGTCATTTTGTGCATTTGGATTATTTTCACCAAGCTCATAGCAGCTATAAATAGGAAGATATTTAAGTCTGTTTTTTTTTTTTTTTTTTTTTTAAGATTAAAGGTATTTATCTGTTTTGTAACGCACATGTTCTCAGCAGGGATTTGTCTGTTGTGACAGAATGAGGGATCTCTAAAGAAACACATATATTCAAGGCTCTTCTTAACATCAACTTCAGGTCTATCTGCCAGGCTAGTGCTGTGGTTTTTGAGATCCTTATTCACCATGAAATCTAGTGTTACTTGTTCTGTATTTGATGCCATCTTTTAAAGTAACAGGCTATGAGTATTTTGTTGCTGTCCACATGTGCTTTTCCAGCCATTTAAAAACCTATTTTTTCTAAGACCCAACATGCACCCCCTGATTATTTTTGGGTTACCTCATTATTCATTGCATTTATGCAGGGGCAGTGCGTCAATTCTTGTGGCATTCCTATGATACCCAGTTACAGTAACTGTTTGTGTTGCTCAGTTAGAAGCTGAATGAGCTGGAGATTTAATGATCTAGTAAATCAGTTTATAATTGGTAGTCAGAAAGGCTGAGGGTTTAATCAGCTAGTCTGATATTATATGAACCATTGGTTCCCAGATGCTGGTCCAGCAACCACGAGTATTCACAGATTTCTAGGCCCATCTGGAGAGATTCTTATTCAGTACATCTCAATATAGATTCTAGGAATCTATCACTTTTAGAGGTTCCATGGAAGCTTCTGGTGCAGGGATGTCAAAGTATGCATGGTATAATGATTGTGTCTTTCAGTGATAACATTTTTCATCTCTGTGTGTCTCAGATAGTGCTGGAATGCCTTAACTGCCTTCTTTAGTGGAATCTGTTTATATGGGCATTCTGGGCTACGTGGGAAAAGGAACCTCAGGCTGGCCATCGGGGACCTGGTTCTAGCCGTGGTTCTGGCACTCTCTCAACCTTTCATGAGGTTAGAGAGGTTTAATCTCTGGGTAGGTCTGATTCATAAATTGAGAGCATCAGATTATGCAAGGTATTTTTCTGCTTTCTAACATTCTTTGAAGAGCTTTGCCTCCCTAGGAATTGTTTTTGTTGTCACTGTTCATGAACAGCTATTGCCTCATTTAGTTTAGCGTGTGCCTAGTCCCTCAACCAAACATTAGTTACGGTCTGCTTTTCAGGAGAGCTGGTAGCTCTCCCCAAATTCAGGATCGCCTCTTTTCCTCTTCTCTTACTGGCACTACCAATTACCCACAAGACTGAAGTAAACTGGTTTTTGTGAGACAGAGTCTCGCTTTGTCACCCAGACTGGAGTGCAGTGCAGTGCACTGGCTCACTGCAACCTTTGCTTCCGGGTCCAAGCAATTCTCCTGCCTCAGCCTCCCAAGTAGTTGGGATTACAGGTGTGTGCCACCACTCCTGGCTAATTTTTGTATTTTCAGTAGAGACAGGTTTTCACCATATTGGCCAGTCTGGTCTCAAACTCTTGACCTCAGGTTATCTGCCCACCGCATCCTCCCAAAGTGCTGGGATTACAGGTGAGAGCCACTGTGCCCAGCCTATATTGGGGTTTCTGCTAAAGAAAATTCACATTGTAGTTCTGACCTTTTGTATGTAAAACCTCAGGGTTTTTTACCCACAGGTCCCTTTTTGCAGGCAAGGGATGCTTGTCTCTTTGGGCATAATGTGGCTGATGTCATAGTCTAGGGAGCTGGGCTTGTGCTGCCTCACCCCCTTCAACAAACCTTTCATTTCTAGGAAATAGCTGTATATTGTCTAGAGGGGCCAGCTGAGGATGGGGGCAGAACATGGTAACCCCTTAAATCTCTGGTTCTCAGCCATTGTGGAGCATCAAAATGATCCGTGGTGCTTTTAAAATTATGCATACCCATGTCCCCCCAGCACCGCCTGGTCCTGTTGAATCAGACACTCCAGTGTGGGATTGGACGTGTGTGTGTGCGTGTGTGTGTATGTATTTTTGAGACAGGGTCTGGCTCTGTTGCCCAGGCTGGTGTGTGGCAAGATCACGGCTCACTGCAGCCTTGACCTCATGGGCTCAAAGTATCCTCCCACCTCAGCCTCCTGAGTTGCTGGGACTACAGGTGCTTGCCACCACACCTGGCTAATTTTTTAATTTTTATTTTTAGTAGAGACGTGGTTTCATGATTTTGCCCAGGCCGGTCTTGAATTCTGGGACTCAAGGGATCCTCCTGCTTCGGCCTCTCAAAGTCCTGGGATTATAGGCATGAGCCACCGTGCCAGGCCAATTTTAAAGACTTTGCTTTAGACTCTGCCTTCCATGCACTGTCCCTCTGCATTCTGAAATTATTTTTTGTTAAGGCAGGTATAAATAAATTTTCACGGAGAGTTGTCATGAAAATGCAGTAAATGGTGGTCTGAATCTGTTGGAAATACTGCTTTGAGACTAGGAGGCCCTCAGAGGCTGAAGGCTGTTCACTTTAACGTCCCCAGCCTATGGTTTAGAGACGGCCCCCACTGAGGATTTACCCCCGGTGGTGCCTGTCTACCATGGTTGAATGCTTCATCATGGAGAACACGAAGTCATCCATCCTTTTGTGAAGTGAATTTTAACATAATTACTCATTTATCTTCTATTGGGTGCAATTTAACAAACATGATTAGGAACTTACAATGTGCCGAGCATTGATATAGGTGCTATATAGTGAACAAAACAGAATTCCTGCCTTCGTGGGACTTTCTCTTCACCAAAAAATACATATATTCACATGGAGTTTCACATGACTGAATTAAATGGCTGCATTATGAAATAACATTTTACAAGAATTTTTGAGGATTGACCTGAGTTATCCCTGAGATCACAAATAGAAAATTTGGAGTTTAGCAATGAAACCTGGATTAAATTAGCAAAATGTTAACCGAGGGACTGTGTCTTACTAATGCAGCAAACAGTCAGGAGTGGTTCGGAGAAGTATTTTCTGAAGGTAAAATGAATAAACCAGTGGGTGTAGGACTTTGCCCCAAAACAGTCAACCAAGGACATTGACAGAATGAAAGTTTGTCCTCTGACTTTAAAAATAAGTCTCCAGAGCTGGGCGTGGTGGTGCATGCTTGTACCCAGCTACTTGAGAGGCTGAGGCAGGAGGATTGCCTGAGCCCAGGAGGTTGAGGCTGTAATGATGTAATCATCATGCCACCACATTCCAGCTTGGGTGACAGGGTGAGACCCTGTCTCCAAAATTAAAAAAAAGAGTCACTTGATAGAAATCTTTTTTGACTTTTTTTTTTTTTTTTTTAGCTCCATGTATTTTATTTCATGTATATGCAAATACTTTTGGGTCCTGGAGTTACCAGTATTTTATGTTTGTTTTATCTGATCGATGGAAACATTAACTGAGCTGAATGCATGTGTTTCTGGATTCTGGGATGCTACTTCACCAATTACTGCAGATCTCCATACTCACCTTACATGGGTTAATAGCTTCCACAGTGTCTCTTTCTGTGTTATAGTTTATGCACTGAGATTTTCTCATTCAGTTAGATCTAATATGAACATTTTAAATGTGCCTTTTAAAGAATTTAAATACTCATATATTTTTGCATGTCTTTTTTCCTTTTTACAAAAGGAAACTAGGGTCTTTTTTTTTTTTTTTTTTTACTGTGAACTACATTCTTGGATTCTGAATGCATGCTAAAAAATTGGTGAGACTACAAAGACAACCAATGAAGAAAAACACATTTGATGTGGATTTCAAAATATCAAGAGAATATGGAAAAGAAACCAAGATCAGCTTTTGGTTCCAGCTCATATGGCTGTTTGTGAGTTACTAGCTTAGAAGGGAAGTAAATAGTTTATGAGAGAGAAGAAGATAGATATTCTGGAAATCATTATTAAGCTGAAATTTCTGCATCTAATTTTGGAATGTTTATGTTTAGAAAGTCACATGCACAATGAAAATGTGTGTTTCAGGTTTGCGGAGAAAAACAGCGCTTTGAGAAGTTGATGGAACATTTCAGGAATGAAGACAATAACATAGATTTTATGGTGAGTTATTTCAGTATTCAATAAAGCAAACTCAATTTCAGCACTTTTTTCCTAAACACACACACACACACATATTTATATTATAAAGGACAGGGAATTGCATTTAATATGCTGTAGATCCAATCTAGAATGTCCCTCTTAATCTGTATTTTGTCTTTGAATTCCAATTTTGTTCCTTACATACACAGTATAGTAAAGACCAAAGTACTAATTACAGCAAATAAAGGGGAAGCCATGCAGTTGGAAACAGCCATGCCTGGTGCAAATGCTGCCATTGTTTAATTGTTGATGATGCTGCGTAAGAATCCTTAGGGTAGAAGCAATCTTGACCTTTTTTATTTTTGCAGGCCCCTGCCAGTGCCCTTCTCCAGACTATATTCTTAAAAATTAAAGTGCTTTGGTTTGTAGAGTTGACTGTTTGTATCTCCAAAATGAATATGCAGCAGTGATTGTTTTTCCTCTCTGATCTCTTCCTGCTGTGGTAACTCTGTGAGGGTTTAATCATACTGGGGCTCTCCTTGGCAGGTTAGGTGACATAACAAAACATGTGGTTCCACAGCAGTCCTGCCATTCTCGCGTAAGAAGAACATCAAAGTGAGTTGCAGCACTTCTGCATTCATAGACGTAAATCTTAATCTGGAAGGAAGATAGAATCCGCCACAGTGAATTTCTCCAGAAGTTTTACCCTTGAGTGTACCCAGGTCTGTAGGTGCTACCCACTTCAGTTGCCCTAGGGAAATTCTAGACCCAGGAGATCCTAACCAGGGTGTAATTTCCCAGATCACTTCTAACCTGAAGCAGACGTACTAATCACTTCTTACCTTGCAGAGCCTATGCTTAGGATGCCAAGTGAAGTTTTCACTTGAATTGCTTCAGTGATTATAAAACATGAAACATAACTTTGCCGATTTCTAACCCTTTTTGTGAAAAAAATGTTTGGAGTCCTCAAGTTTTATACACTCTTAGCCCTCATCCCCTTCCAAAATCAGTGAGAAAGATGAAATCCTTTATAGAGAAGATTTTCTGTTGCATAAAGCATGTTATTTGCTTTTCAAAGTGTGTGTGTGTGTGTGTGTGTGTATACACATACACTTTATAGATATACGTATATATACACACACGTATATGAAACAAGGGACACTTTTACATTGACTTTTAAAATCTTGTTATTAGGATTTTTTAGAGAAGTTAAGGCTAATGCTGGTCCTGGTGATAAATATGTAGAGAGATGGGTGTCTTGTCTCATGATGTCAGTTTCTTTCTTGTGCCGTTTTAGGGGAACTTATTCATTCTGTTAGAGTTGAGGTTGCAAACTGGAGGCTCGCACGCTGAAGCCAACCTACAGGCTTGTCAGTTCAGTCTGACAGTGATGACCCTACTTCAACAATTTGGGAATGATGCATAAAGATACACATCTGATTTTCTTGGAAACTGAAAATGTCTGAGAACACTGGGCCCCTGTTCCTGCAGAGTGTCAGCTGCTGGAGCCAAGCAGCCCCTATTGCTTTAGTCCAAAGATGTCCTCTCTAGTTTGTCACAGTCCACACCATTCCCTGTTGTGTGACACAGCCCAGCCTGCTCATTTATGATACCTGCCAGACCTCCTTGCCATTTGAGTTTCTGCTGAAACTACAATTATATAAAGCCCTTTAAAACACCTGCACTAGCCATACACAAACTAGGTTCTATTTTCTGCCCGTTCATTTATTCACATATACGTGCATCGAGGTACCTTATTTAGAGGCTGCTATTACACAAGTCGTATGTGCTAGATTCATGCGTCACCTTCAGATAGTCGCCTCTTAGGCATATCATAAAACCCAGTAGATCGTTTAGACCTGTTTTCCAAAGAGAAATGGAAAGATGTTAGAATCCAGCCATATTTTCTCTTCAGAAAATGAGGCTTTTGATAAACTGCCTTGAGAACACAATTAGGTTGCACAGCCTCTGAAACAAGATATTCCTCATAACATATAATAAAAAATTTTTCTAATGTATATAAGACATTTTTATCCTTTTTCTGTATTTCTTTGTGGACAAAAGAAAACAAAAACTATTTTGTTTCTTTAAAAAATATTTTTCTAGTTTGTATTTTGTACATGCCTTTGTAAAGATATATTTTTTAAAGCTCATTTAGTGATAGAACCCGAGGTGATTTTTTTTTTTTCTTTTTTTAGTAAATTGCAGTAGAGTCCTTCTGTAAGCTAGAGAGGTTACACATCTTCCAAAGATATCCAATGTATACCATATCTTCAAAGAATAATCTAACTTGATGAAAAAAAAAAATTGTAAACATAAAGGAAATTAGGTTTGGAGAGCGATGAGGAGTAAGGTGGTTCTCAGAATAAGTGTGACTCTGCATCCCTCAATCACGTTCCCTCCTTGCCAGAGACTCTGCTGAGTGACAGCCATGGAGGGAAAGCATTAGTAAGATGTTTCCACCATTAATAGACTGACTGTCACTGTGAAAAGCAAAATAGATCTGTTGAATGCTGTCCTTTTATTTACCCAACCTGGGACTGGTTTTCTCTTTGGCAGGTCTCAGAGCCACTGGTGCAGTTGTGGGGAGAAAGCAGTAAATTCCAGGCTTATAGGGAATGCAGACTGGTTGATTATATGTAAAGATGGGTCAAGGATCTGTTCCTATCCTGTTGATATGGAAGAGCTCACAGGGAATTTTAGATGTGGTTACCTTGTGGTGAGATTGTAGGTGATTTAAATGTTCTTCTTAAAAAAAGTTCTTTGTAATAATATTCACATTTTGTACAACAAACCTATAGTAATTTACACAGTTTATTTTATATACCCATATGACTTTTACTGAGATATAATTAACATATCATCAGATTCACCCAATTTATTTATAATCCAGTGCCTATTTAGGCTATTCACAGGGCTGTACAACCCTTACCACAATCTAATTTAGGACATAGTGTCACCCCCTCAAAAAAAAGTCCTGTACCCATTGGCAGTCACTCCCATTTATCCCACCCTCAGCCCTAGGCAACCACTAATCTGCTTTCTATCTCAATAGTTTAGTCTGTTTTGGATTTTTTATATAAATGGAATCCTACAACATGTGGTCTTCTGTAACTGGTTTTTATCATTTAACATGTTTTCAGGTTTACGTTGTAACAGGTGTTAGTACTTGATTGCTTTTTATTGTTTCATAATATTCCATTGTATGGATATACCACATTTTGTTTATTGGTTAATGGACATTGGGTTCTTCCTACTTTTTGGTTGTTATTAATGATGTTATTATGAACATCTGTGTACAGATTTTTATGTGGACATATGTTTTCATTTCTCTTAACTGTATATCTAGAAGCGGAATTGCTGGGTCATATGATAATGCTGTGTTTATCATTTTGAGTAAAAGTCATACTTTTTAAAGTGGCCACCCTTTTTTCCATTACCACCAGCGATGGACGAGGGTTTTAATTTCTCCACATCCTTTCCAATTCTTGTTACTGTATTTTTTTTATGATAGCCATCTTAGTGGTTGTGAAGTGGTATCTTATTGTGGTACCTCTGTGACTTTTGAATTTAAAAATAATTATAAAATATTTTTAAAGAACCAATGAAATGAAGGAAAAGGAAATCGGTAAGTGAGCCTCTTTTGTGAAATTGAAAGCACATGTCTGCAGTTAAACTGAGAAAAAAGTTTGGAGCCCATCTAACCCCTTGACAATTTCATTTCAGGTGGCTTCTATGCAGTTTATTAATATTGTAGTCCATTCAGTAGAAGATATGAATTTCAGAGTTCACCTGCAGTATGAATTTACCAAATTAGGCCTGGATGAATACTTGGATGTGAGTATAGCTGTAACCTTTGGCTCTAATATAAGAATTGACTTCTTATATTGCCTACCCTCAAAGCTACGCTTCCATAGCAGCTAAAGAATGCCTAGAGCTCTATGCAGTCGACTACTGTAGTGCCAGTTAAAGGGAACTGAGCTGAATGATGTATTCTGCCAGAGATGCTGGATTCTTGCAGGGCTCCTGGGACCTCAGGCCATCTTCTGCTAGCAGCCTTTTAGTACGGGAGTCGGATAACCTCTTGCAGCCTTGCTGCAGCTTTCCTCTGCTTTTGAGCTTCGTCTGGGTCAAGTCTCATTGCGTCCTTCCTCTGGACTATTGGGCAATTTGCATTCTTGGTTGCTCTGGGGACCCCATGTGGGCAGAGAAAGTCAAGCCAAGACTGTATAGTGATGAGTCAGTGCTCAGAGCATAAAAAAAAAACAATGAGGAAATGGACACCAGAGACTTCCTCCTGAAGCTGCTAAATTCTGCTTCAAGTGTTTGTGGCTTTAGAAGTTCCACTTTTAGTTCTTAGGAGAAGGAGGTTTAAAGTTTCCCTTTTTCTTACTCCCTTGCAGAAGTGGTTAGCCAGTTCCCTGAAGTTCTTCAGTTAAGAAACAGAAACTTGATGTGAAAATCAGAAATAGTCTTGAAAAGGCTGGTGGCTCACACCTGTAATTCCAGCACTTTGGGAGGCTGAGGTAGAGGATCACTTGAGCCTAGGAGTTCAAGACCAGCCTAGGCAACATAGTGAGACCCCATGTATACAAAAAACTAAAAAAATTAGCGAGGTGTGGTGGTACGTGCCTGTGGTCCCAGCTGCTTGGGAAGCTGAGTAGGGGGATTATTTGAGTCTAGGATTTCCAGGCTGCAACAAGCTGTGACTGCACCACTGCACTCCAGCTTGGGTGGCAGGGTGAGACCTTGTGTCTAAAAAAGGAAAAGAAATGGACCCGAGGAACCAGGCAGTTTTGTTTTCCCTTTTGTATAGGAATGGTCTAGTGATACAGCAAGAATTGTTGACCTCAGTTTCCTTCCTTTTTTTTTGAGATAGGGTTTCACTTTGTCACCCAGGCTGGAGTGCAGTGGTGCAGTCTTGGCTCACTGCAATCCCTGCTTCCTGGGTTCAAGCGATTCTCATGCCTCAGCCTCCTGAATAGCCTGGCTAATTTTTGTATTTTTAGTAGAGACGGGGTTTCACCATGTTGGCCAGGCTAGTCTCAAACTCCTGCCTCAAGTAATGCACCCAGCCAGTGATCTGAATGTCAAGGCTGTTTCCAGCTATGAAGAATATAGAAGTACTTCCTTTGGGCATCTCCAGCATTCAGTTGCCCATCTTTGTTAGAGATAAACCCAAGGGATTGTATAGACTGTACCCTCAGTTTATTGGGAGACGAATCACAGAGGTGGTTACTCTCAACCTGAAGGCCTTGCTTCCTAGACTGGCTGGGCTGCCCTTGAATAGACGGGCCTACTCTTATCTAAAGACTACTCAGGGAGAGGTGTAATAGATTTCCATTAAAGTGTTGTTTCAATTGCTTTCCTTAAAAAGACTCATTTATATCACTGGCAGAGTATTGTACAGAAAGACTCTTACTTTAGATCAAGGTTTGTCTATCCCTTTTTCTCCTGTGCTCTAAAAGTGTCAGTATTTGAAAAATTAGATGTACAAATTCCTAGCGGTGTTCTGGGTTTGGTTTTGTGGTGTCTGAGCAGAGCTTGTTTATGCTCTAGAATACAATGGCAGGGACCAACTTATCACTGAACACCTGTTACTCATTGTGAAGATCATGAAAAATCCCATTAAGCTGCTTCTCCTTTTGTTCTAGCCTTTGCCCTTATTTAGAAGCCATTCTCACTTGGGACTCATAAAGGAAAGTAGAACATTCTCTCTTCAGAGGAAGCTGTATTGTAGAATTCCAGATTAGACCTAGGGGAAATCCATCTTTCTGAAAATTTATATAGAGTGGAATTTCTCTTAAAACTGTAAGATTTTTTTTCAAAACTCTGTATTTCTTTAACTTCATGGTGTGTTGACTCTGGAACCTAACAGAGGTGGTTAGAAGAGTCATGTAAATGTAAGATACATAAATGCTTCATTAGTTTACAAAAACCCAGCCTTGTAAGTAGCCATTGATTTGTTCAGTAATGTTGATTGGCATCATCCATGTGCCAGGTATTATGCTAATCACTCATCTGTTCCCTAGGGAAAGTCATGACTTATGTTACTTGTAGGGAAGATTCACTGATTTATTTGACCTCTAGTTTCCAGAGCTAGCTGAGTCACTGCAGGATGCCTAATTTGGGAGGCAGTGAATTGGGGAAAGCTTTCTGATCTGTTCATGCTGTATACTGACTGAGGGAGGGATGTGTGGAGGTTGGGCTCTAGCAATTTGTGCTAAAATAATCCCCAAGGTTAAGTATAAACTCTATCACTGTCTGCCCCATCTCTCGCCTAACCTTGTTCCTCTACTGGAACCACTGTCACTAACCAGGTAAGATACCAAACACTCCAGTCTTTTCCACTACACAGATACCCCTCAGGTTTTATGTGGCTGTGACTATAATCTGTCAAAGCTGCTTTTAATTTTTCTGTCATCCCAATTTCACGTATATCAAAATGTTTTAGGTTGGAATATAACTACATAGGACAGTAAGGATTCGGGGAAAAATGTGTGTGCACTTGGTAGAGGGTATTCACCAGAAAGTCATCTGATGATACGCCTTAGGCAGTCACTCCATAATTCTCTTAAGGAAGATGACATGTTAAGCTCTCTCGGAAACGGCTGGACTATTTGTCACAAAGAAAACACATAGACTGGCTGGGCGCGGTGGCTCACGCCTGTAACCCCAGCACTTTGGGAGGCTGGCAGGCAGATCATGAGGTCAGGAGATTGAGACCATCCTGGCCAACATGGCGAAACCCTGTCTCTACTAAAAATACAAAAATTAGCTGGGTGTAGTGGCACGTGCCTGTAATCCCAGCTGCTCAGAAGGCTGAGATATGAGAATCGCTTGAACCCAGGAGGCAAAGGGTGCAGTGAGCTGAGATCGCACCATTGCACTCCAGCCTGGGTGAGAGTGAAACTCCATCTCAAAACGAAACAAAACAACACAAAAAAGACAGACTGTTAGGAAATGATACTCCATTTCCACAGATGAGCTAACACCACGTTCTCTCCTATCCTGGTTTTTAGAAGCTGAAACACACTGAGAGTGACAAGCTTCAGGTCCAGATCCAGGCTTACCTGGACAACGTTTTTGATGTAGGAGCTCTGCTGGAAGATGCTGAAACTAAGAATGCTGCCTTGGAGAGGGTGGAAGAACTGGAAGAAAACATCTCTCATGTAACTACATCTCAGAAAAGGAAAAACTGCTTCCATTTCAGCTGGGTGCAAAACAGAATTAATGTCAGCTTTCATGGTGGTAAATTAAAGAATTTGGAGTATAGGGACGGGCCATACCCTGCAATAGAGAGCTGTCAGAAGCTGTTCTGTGTTTTTGCCAAAAGGCAGCTGCGTAATGTAAAGTTTTTGAAATAGAAGCCGTTGCTTTGCTTTAGCTCACTTACCTGCTCAGTTTCTGCTGAGGTGCATTTCCTGGCAGTCTTGGTGATAGGCTCAAGCGGAGTGCGGGAGTTTGATGATTGGCATTACGTAAAAGATTAGAGGGAAATGAAATATGGGAATTTGGCCTGAGGTGAAGAGGTATCTTCTTATCAACTATGTCCACACAAGCCCATGGACAGGATTAGCTGGTGTCTCTGTGATGCATGTCTGAACATTCCCGTCTTACGGTACTCAAATTCTAAATAGAGTCATTTCAACAACAGGCATTTTCAAGGACATCGGTGTGCTTTGTCATATATCCTCTTCTTTGAAGAATGTCCTCAGTATCATTGTCAGCTCTGTCACACGACAGCGTCTCATTTTTCTTTGAGGGATTTTTCTTGACATAGACTGATTCTAATATGACTCTAAGGGCCTTTAGAGGTTATTTGTTCATTCATTAACCACATATTTCAATAGTAAAAGAATTAACAGAAAAATGGTGCTTCTCAAACACCCAAGCATTATGAAGACCAAATTCTTTTGGTGAGTCTGATGGGCACTTTCCTTGATTATGAAATGAAGTGTCTCCTTTTGGAGGATTATTATTTTCTCCTTTGAACAGTTCATTTATTTTTCTCCACATTTTTTAAAGAGTACTGCATATACTCAGTTTCTTTCACCTTTCCCCACCACTCTGAAAATGGGTCTCCTCATGGCTGTGGGTAAGCCGAGTCAGTGAGCCAGAAACCCTTTAAATGTGCTGCTGTGGCCCAGCTGGCATCTGCTTCAAAAGAGAATTTTACAGGCCCAGTATATCTTCCCTTAGAAGATTCGTATTATATGCTGAACCCGATCAGTGTAAATCTCCACTCTTCCTCCTTACCTTGCCTCCCTGGTTTTCTTTACTTGTAATGAATTTAAAGGAGATGTTAGAAATCAGAAGTTGCTCAATGTTAGAGCCCTATGTGAAAGGCAGCTATTTAACACATGGCTCACCCTGTCTTTCTCCTGAAGCCTCAGCCAACATTGCATGACCATACTTATGTGTCCACTTTTGTAGCAGGCCATCTGTTTCTTTGAATGGCTTCCCCAAATAACTTTATTATTATTATTATTATTATTATTATTATTGTGGGTTTTTTTCTTTGAGATAGAGTCTTACTCTGTCACCCAGACTGGAGTGCAGTGGTGCCATCTTGGCTCACTGCAACCTCTGCCTTCCGGGTTCAAGTGATTCTCCTGCCTCGGCCTCCCTGGTGGCTGGGATTACAGGTGTACTCCACCACGCCCGGCTAATTTTTGTATTTTTTTAGTAGAGATGGGGTTTCACCATATTGGCCAGGCTGGTCTCGAACTCCTGACCTCAGGTGATTCACCCACCTCAGCCTCCCAAAGTGCTGAGATTACAAGCGTGAGCCACTGCGCCCAACAAACTTTTATTATTTGTATAGTTTGGGTCGAACCAAGCAGTAGTTGTTTTTCAACTGGCTACCTAGATTGAAAGAACCAAGTTTATTATGTTAGCAGCTTTCAAAAGCTTTAGTCTGATGGCCCTTTCTTGGCATGGAGGTGGGGGATGGAGGTGGACTCTCCCTCCTCTTTCTCCTTACTGTCCTCTACCCTTGCCAGCCCCTGCAGAAATGGAGGGAGGCACACTGTGTATGTTGAACAGTAAGGAGCGGACATGTGGGTCTTATTAAGAATCATGTCTAAGTTATTAATTCCTGGTAGAAACAAATATGTATTCAGAGCCATATTATAAATATTACCATTTACAGAAAACAATGGGCGGAACACATGTAGGTCCCTGGCCCCTAATGATCTTGGAGTTGCACTTTCTGAAAACTGAGGGCCTGATCAGGATGATCCTGTATTGTGACACAGCTTTCTTTTCAAAATTTTACAGTTATCTGAAAAACTGCAGGACACAGAGAATGAAGCCATGTCCAAGATTGTGGAACTGGAAAAGCAACTCATGCAGAGGAACAAGGAGCTGGATGTCGTTCGGGTAAGCATGATGATGACAGCTGCCCAGATGGGCACGGTAGGGAATGTACTCCAGCTTTTGTCCAGTGGAACGCAGAGTACATTCAGAGGAATGCATTGATGCAGCATATTTATTGGAACCCTTTCAGAGGTGATGCTCTGATGAAAACTACACATAGTCGGCATATGTATACACATGTGTGTGCAATCAGATACTGGGGGGTTCAGTATTTCCTTATCACAGATTTTGGGAGCAACAATGTTTTCCCATCTGGAGGAGGCTGAGTTAATTCCGTGGAACACCCATTTGGTTGGAAATAAAAACACAGCATGGATTTAATTCATGCCACTTATTTATTTTTATTAGGACTTGAGCTTCTTTGTATTTCTTTGCTTTGCTTCCACTCAAAACCAGATTTGGTGGTTGCTGTGGAAACAGTGAAATACAACACAGGCTAGGCTTAATGGTATTCACCAAAAAAAGGGGGGTGGTGCAGAGCAAACCAATCCATTTTATTATCAGCTAATCCCAGCTATTTTATTGGGCCTTAGTATTGTTTACCTTATGTGCCAGGTATTTATGGAGTGCCATCCCTATGCTTGGAATTGTGCTGTAAGAACACCAGAACGCCTGGAGAGCTTTAAGGCAAATGACTTGCCTTTACACTGCTAATGAAATGGCACCTTTTATGTGATGGTTATCGTGTCTGTGTGTGTCTGATATCCTGACATGTCCTACAGTTCAGTCCAGGAAATTTATTTTCTGGCACGCCTTCGAGACACAGTTGTAGCATATGGACTCAATTCAACTTCAGACTCTTAGATTATTAATAATAGACAGGGTGTGAAGAATGTCTCCCTGCTTGCTGGAGGTTTGTGTTGAGAGATCGCTTGTACAAGGCCCAGCAAGGAAGTTCAGTTCCATAAAACCCTTTCACTAGAACCTCTGTGGGCCCCCCTTATAAAAGGAACCAGGACAGCCTTTGAATTGAAAATTGTAACTTCTTTGTTTTCTGCTAAAAACCTAGACAGAAATAAGTAATTAGTGAAGGGAAGCTTTGGCCTGTTTTGTTAACCGCATTACCGATGGGAAAATGTTACAACAATCGCTATCCTGAGCTTGGTCAAGGGGGCGTTGTGAGGGCCAGAGAAAGCCATTCAGGAACAGTCAGCCCCTGGCTACTCATGAGTGGATTATTCCATGCTTTGCAGATTTTTAATCCCAGTCTGATTTGTATCCAAGTCTGATTTAGGGCCCTTTTGTCTATTGTTAGCCGATACGTGTATCTAAGAGTTACAAATGAAGGTTAAAATATAGGGAAGGAAAACATGCACACCAGAACACCCTCAGGAGATTCCCGAGTCAGCATTCAGGCTCATTTCTGCTCTGTTTCTTTCTACCTGCAGGGAAAACTGAGTTAGCTGCATTTATTAAATGGAAAGAACTTCATTACCAACAACAATACCTAGAATATATTACATGCATTACTAACATACAATTAATAATTAATGGAACTTTATAGGTTCTGGCTGAGTTCCAAAGAATTCCCATCTATATGAGTGTCTTTTTTTCTCTTTATCCTCAGTCTGCCAGTCTGATGGATTCAGACTTGGTGTAAGTATGAATGTGATGTGAAGATAAACTCTTGACCTTGGACTTCATTGCAGGAAATCTACAAAGATGCAAATACTCAAGTTCACACATTAAGAAAAATGGTCAAAGAAAAAGAAGAAGCAATTCAAAGACAGTCTACCCTGGAAAAAAAGATTCATGAACTGGAGAAACAAGGGACCATTAAAATTCAGAAGAAAGGGGATGGGGATATCGCCATACTGCCAGTCGTGGCTTCTGGCACGTTGTCCGTGGGGTCAGAAGTGGTAGCAGGTAACTCTGTGGGACCCACAACGGGGGCCGCTTCCTCGGGACCCTTGCCCCCTCCTCCACCACCACTGCCTCTCTCATCAGACACACCTGAAACAGGTAAGAAGCCTTGGCAGGAGGACTGAGGAAGTTTCGGAATATTTGTATTTCTTCTTTGCCAACTGTCCACTTCTGTCCTTTGTCCGTTTTTGTTGGCATATTCTTTAAGAATTGGTTTTCTTGAGTAGTTCTTAACAGTTTACATTTTGAGATTAAAATTATAAATCCTCATTTCACATATGTTGAAATATTTTTCCCATTTGTCAGTGAGGACATGTTATGGTTTTTGAAAACAGTCCTTTGTCCTTTTAAGTGTGTTGTTTTCAGACGGCTTTATATGCACATGGCTTATTGCAGGAAAGCCATTCCCCTGTTTTCAAAGTCCACCTGTTTCTTTTCTCTTTGCTAGTGCAAAATGGTCCAGTAACACCACCTATGCCACCGCCGCCGCCGCCACCTCCTCCTCCCCCTCCTCC